GCCATTTTGGCCGCCGAACAGCTGATCGTCGGGGTTCGTTTTGCGAAGATCGGTAAGCGAAACACTTACCGGTCTTTGCAAAGCGAATTTTTCCCCATTAAAAAAACGTTGAGCGATCGCATTAGCGATCCGAAAAAACGGATCGCTATGCGATTTCATCGTTATACGGTGCGCTCGTTAAGCGAGGCACCACTGTAATTGCTAAGTGGAGAAGTCCATTGAGACTGCATGTCTATAAGTATATATAAAGTAGCCTTCTGGGTTCTAGTTTGTAAATTTTGAATGCTGAAATAAAAACGAAGCTTTCTTAAAAATATTAAACGTATTAAAGTTTCTCTTTGTGTTTGCAAAACCTCTTTTGCAGATCCTCTTACTTCACCTGGTTCATCCTTGTTTAACGATTTTGCTGCCCTCAGCTTATCTCAAAGGAGAAAAGTAGGTATTGCCGAACTTTTCAAGTTAGCATGTCTTACAGAAGAATCACTTTCTTAATTCCTTTTACACAGATACTGAAAGCTTTCAACAGTAAAATTAATAGTAGGCAAAGCAGCAGATAGCAAGAACTTCTCACAATATATTGAAAGGAATTTTAACAGCTGCTCAGAATTGTTTAGATCAGCTCCCATAAATCGAAAGATGAATGCACACATTGTAATCCTAAAGAATTTTGATGATATAGTTATACTTAAATAGGTATTCAGAAATTTTCTTATAAAATGACTGAATCAGTTAAAACTATGCAATCATCCACATTATCCAAATGCTTCTACAATCCATACACCATGTCCCAGTTTTCATATTTAAATTGCTAGACTGTTAGGAGGATGATTTCTATGACATTTCACATTTTCTCTGCAACATACATCTGAACCCCATAATCAAATTCAAAATCTGGCCTTTCTCACCAGATTACTAATAAACGTGTATAAACCCACCCATAAGCTAAAACAAAAATATGACATATCATAGATCTCTTCCCCATGTAACACTGCACATAATTTCGGTGTCATAATCATTTTCTAAGAGTAGTTTTTCTTTTTTTTTCCTGTTAGTAACTGCACAAGACACAAACCTCCAGTTGTGTTTGTTCTATAGTCAATTAATTTACTTTTACACTTTTAGGAATACTTTTTAGTGAATTTTCTAGGTTAGCTGATTTTAAAAACACTTTCCAAATGTGATTTGCTGTAGCTGGTTATTGCCGTTCACAGTTTTTAATGGTCTGCAGTGTCCTTTCTTGATATCTGAAGATTACATGTCACAAGTATTATCAAATTTGCATATTTCAACCATTTTTATTTGGCACTTACTAGTAATAGAACCATGTCCACAGTAATACACAAATGTTTCTCTTCATTGGCATAAGACATGAAATTTTCTGCCTTTTGTTTAGGATAAAGGATTCATTGGGATCTTTTCTCTGAATTTTCTCTGCCGGTGTTTATTGAAGTATATTGAGAATTTGTTCAGCCTCAAAGAAGCTAAAGCTTAGCACTGAATTTGGTGATAGATCAGACACTGGGAATATCTAGAACAATATTAATTCATTTATTCATTTATTCATTTATTCATTTATTTATTTAAATTTAATATGCTGCACCTGTTGGTGCCGCAGCACTACTCTGGGCAGTTCACATAAAATGCACAATCAGATAATTAGTATGATAAACAACCTAACCACATAAAAACAGAGGGTGCCAGAGCATTAATAAAATTGCCTTAAAAACACAACAAAGATACAAATGACAATTAACTGTGCAGAAATGTGTCAGTACACATGTAACATAATGTAACTAATTCTACAGAAGTGAAGGCATACAGTTCAGTTTCACTTGTTTTACATTGGAGATGAGCGATTTCCAAAAATCCAGAGTCTGCATATTCTCATTTTTGTACTTTAAAGGGCCACCCACTATGTTTCTTACAGAATTTTTTAACAGAAAATGCCTATTTGTGCCCTTTAGCATCTAAAGTGAAAAACGTGGGAGGAGAGCCTTCAAAATATGGCAGAATTGCCCCCAGAATTCTTCAGAGAGAACAAAGGAACTTTCTGAGCCAAATCCCCTCAAAAGTTGATTTTGGACCGGTGCTGGGGGCTTCATGTTGACCATCCTGGCACTGTGGTATTCTGGATATTAGCAATTTGCATCATTTTGAAGTGCTACAAAGATGAGCCTGACTTAAGTCAAAGACTAAAATGAGAAGAAGATGCAAATATTTATTGGCAAGCAATGACAGCTTTATTACACTGCCTCTGAAAACCTCAGAGCATGCAGGATCACTACTGGAATTCTGTCTTATCTGAAAGTGTGACGTGTGCGCACCCACACCACAGTTCATTGCAGTAGGCAAGTCCACTTGCTCTGTAAATATCCAGGTAGAGCTGCTTGTTTATAGAAATGGAATGTTAACTGCTTGCTAGACTGCCAGCCTCCCCGTCACCCCCTGTGTGCTGTTAGAAGTGATGACATAATTACTGCTGGATGGACAAAAGTAGTCCTTAGGGAGTTTGTTCAGTTAACCCCAGTGCCAAATTTGACAAAAGATTGTGCATGAGGTAGGGTGTATAAAGTAGATACTTGGCTTTAAGACTGTGTATTTTAGGATTATAGTGTAAACCTTTTCTAAGACTTTAGCAACTTCCCTTTGAGGATATGTGTAACTAAAGGCTGTTGCCACTGAAACAACAGAGATCATCTATGTCACTGTTAATTAAACATGACATTTGTGCTATTAGAATATCAATTCTTCAGTTACGCAACCTCACTCTGATGCATATGAGAGAATGTAATGTATGTTTGGTAGTGTTTTTTTTTAAAGTAAGTATTTTATTTTATTCATTTGAATTATTAACTTCAAATCGGAACTTTTAAGGTTCAGGTGACCGGGATAGTCATTTGAAGTACATGAAGATTTTTTAATTATTCTCATCTTTGTGAAAATGTGTTATTTGGAAGATTGAAGTGTATGAGTGTATTCCATCATCTAAGTGTCTTAGAAGTTGAGCAAATGCAGTTTTGAGCATCATTTAATTAAAAAGCAGGATATACATTCTAAAAAGAAAGCAAACTCAGGTAGTATATGTAGAGCACAAAAGCCAGGATTTTTGTTGTTAGACCTCTGTTGTGCCTTCACATTTATGATTTGAGAGGGAGAGGGAATAGTATTCACTGAAGTGTCTTGTGATGCTGATTTTCCATTTATCTGACTTCTTACAGTTTGTCTTCTAATGCATTGAAACTCTGATCTTGTTAAAAAAAGTTTAGAAAGGCTTTCTGCAAATTTGTAATTCCATCAATTAAAAGTAAAAACTGTAGTGTGACTCCAGCTCATAACACATAAAGCTTGTGCTCGTATAGCTCTGTAAATGATAATGAGCTGTCCCGCATACTATGCCTCTTTTTAATTTTTAATGTCTTTTACCTCTTTGCTTCCTACTTTTCCACCTGTTTTTATTTTATTTATTAATAAAATGAAATAATAACAAAGCACCCTTGTTTTCAAAGTACCTTTCATCCTAATATATGAGTAACAAACCAGAAGAGAAAAGGGAAAAAATGCAAACTTCCGTATGTGTGTAACGCTAAATCCCTATGTACGCACTTCTATGTATGTGTGAGAGAAAGTATCTAATAATGTAATTGTTCTAGTACAAGACCTGTTGTGCTAGTGGTTGCAAAATAGCGGTTGTACAAAGAGACAAAGTATACAAAAATGCAGTACAGTGAAAACATAAAATGTTATAATAAAACCCATTTTGAAAGCATAAAAGGAGGAACAGACTAAATAAACTTAAATATACGTACATACAAGTTTTACCCAGCCATTAAATGCTAACAGCATCAGCCAGACAAGCTTGTATGTGGAGAACGTTACAAGGAAAGAAGTAAATGGAAAACAAATTTTAATAATTTTCTTTTTGAAATCATTGTAAAATGATCCCATCAGTTTATACAATTTAAACATGCAGCAGCTGCACTGTGTTTTGTCTGAAGCTTCTGTGTTCTCTCCATAGAGAAAACACCACACATTAAGTAGCCTCATCAGAGGTTTACCATGTCAAAGATCATTTTAACCAAATTATCCTTGTCCAGGATTGCCAAATCACTTAAAACTGTTTAAAAACACTGTATGTCAAAAGATCTTCAGATTATAAGGCTAGGATATAACTCATAGCAATCTTCTTCCTCTTTTAGGAAGTGCAACTCCATATAGATCAGAATATACAGCTAGGCGGTACTGTGTAGTTAGTTGGTGTGGCTTATGAGCCATTTTGTACCTCTGTAAGTAGCGGAAAATGATATGGCCAATGAGTTGCATGGTCACTTGACAGCAGTACTGTTTCTTCTACAGCATCTGCCCAAATACATGGGGGGGGGAATCTAAATGTGGGTTTCTTCAAATGGAAAAGTGTCTCTGTGCAAAAGGAATCAGGATCTAGTGGAAACTCTGCTAGAAGAAGGAGATGGGTGATGCCAGCAGTGTTTACTATTCGCCCCTTCCTTGTGGGCCCTAGGCCAACCTTCATCTTGTTTCAAAGGACGAAGGTGCCATCTGCCCCTGCCACAGCTTTTGAGAGGACATGGGTGGCTGCAGTAAGAAGGGGGACCTGGTGAAAATTATTGCCACTCCCCTTTATGAGCTGTAATTTATTTCAGTTTGTTCATTCTCATCCAGCCTATTTCTAAACCCAAGCAGTTTTTTTTAAATTTTTATTGGTTTTTATAATTCATGACTGTTTCTGTGGAGAAGTGATAATAAATGTAAATAAATAAATAGTTTCCTCCAGCCTAGTAGAACACTGTACTACAAGTTTGGACCTATCCCATAGTCTGTATGCAGCACAATGTTTTGTAGAAGTTTCTGTTCTTCTTTTGCATGTGCAAATATAGAGGCCACAGAAGGGATCTTTCAGATGGACTTGAAGACTCTGGAGTGCCTTTTTCTTCACTGAGATAGTCATACTCAATCATTTTGTTCACATTTAGTAGATCTGAAGATTTCCTGCTTAATTTTGCTACAGTTTGTCCTCTCTTTGGTAGCCACTGTGATTGTACTCCACATTCCTTTTAAATATTAACTATTTATCAGAAAGTAGGTTCTATTTCCTTGTATGTAATGTTATATCCACAGTTATTAAGTAAATGGATTCCAGCTTACTGCACTCCATGCTCTTGTTATTACATGGTTCATTTTGCTGGTCAGCTTGATCCTTGTCAAAGCTTTAAGCTCTTTACAGTGCATGTCCAAAATTGCTTATCTTCCTAGCATTTTTAAGCATTTTGAGTGCTTAAGGCTTAGGTCCACAAGGGATATAGCTTATATAGTTAACTCCAAGCAAATGACTTGAAGTCTATAAGAATGTTTACTATATTAAGCTTATTAGTAAATTCTGGGCTAACCAAAAACCCATGTATAACTGTACTGGGACATGTTCTTAGTTTTAGCAGGGATGTGGGCATACCGTCTAATCTGATTTTTACCCAGATATTTGCCTTACAGATTGGGACCAACCTGCCCTGAATTGATTTGAAAGTAGCTTGAGTTCATTTGTTCTCAGGTTTTTGCAGATATTTGTTTGCATTTGTATATTTCTGCTGTGAGAGGAGAAAAACTGAAAATGTGGAAAATAAAAGTCTGTGATCTGATATGGAGATTGTTGCACAGTGCCATCAGCTGTGTTAATGTGGTCGACTTCCAGTTTGTACGCAAATCTCCTACAAAGCTTCTTTCCTTCCACTCCCTCCCATGAGCTGTGGTCTGGGAGAACGCATATTAGGGGCATGCCTGCTTGTGCAATAGACTAAACGGTAAACTTTAATGAGATGAATAGGTGAAAACCTGTAGAGACTGGAGAAGATGGCCCCTAGTGTCCCCGGTCAGTTGTCTGGCCAAATGTGCCACACACTACCAAACACAGATCAGAGTATTGTTCTGCATGTTTGGTGTCCACCTACTCTGGAACTCACACCAAGGTGAAAAAAGGACCTTCTCTGCATCAGAGGAACAGAAGAGGCTTTTCCAGTTTAGTTATTTCTGGAGTAGCACTTAGATGTTTTATTTTACAATTAAGTCCTTCCTATGCATTTGTATTCAGAGGAAATTACTCAGTTTGGAAGTCATTAACAAATTTGGAACTCATTAACAAATTTGGAAGTTCTATAAATGACCATGAAGGCATCTGCATGTTGTCACACACAAAGTCATGTGGCTAGTTTGTGCAATGTGAAATACAAATACCCACTTAAATAGCAAAAATTTGCTTCTGATATTTACATAGTTGGATTTATACCAGCAAGTATAATTAATAGAATTCTGGTCAGTGAAGGAGAAATTTGATAGTAGAATGTCCATACCTGTCAATGCCCTGATTGGGTGTTCACAAAGTAAAACACACTCATCACCACCTACAACCTTCCATGATTGACAAATAAATATTTTTTTAATGCCACAGAACTATCTACTTTTCTTTCTAATTATAGATGTTGCTCAGTTTTTGGAGCATAAAAACCCAGTATTCCTTCACATAATTTTATATGATTTATGGCAACCCTACAAATGAGTAATCTTCAGAATATCCTATCCCCAATAGCCCTGATCAGCTCTTGTAAACTCAAACCTGTAGAATCCTTTAGACAATTAATCCACTTTAACTTCTATGCACATCAGCCTCTAGATGTCCTTTTGTCCTTAGTTACACATATAGGGACAGCACTATTTGTAGTCTTTCGCTGTTCTCCAGTAGTTGATTGACTGCTTTCTGACCTGGAGGTCTCACCTTCCTTCTATTTCCTTCATTGCTGCCTTTCCAAGTCTCAGTCTTTTTCTGATTTGTTGGCGGCAGTCTTCATTTGGATCGGTGATTGAATCAAAGTATACAAAAAATTCAGCAACATTAAAGTTGTTTATTTCTTCTGTAGTCATTATTTTTGTTGTCTTCAACTATAACCCTGCTTTGGCACTTTCTTCTTTCACTTTCATCTGAAGTAATTTCAAGTCATTGCTGCTTTCTACCTGTAAGATGGCATCTGAAGCTGCCTGCTAGCACATCTTGTTGGTGCATATGGTTGTAGGTAATGCACTTCAGGGATTACAGCTACTGGTTGCAGTAGGAGTTCAATTAATGCTTCCTTGGATGGGCAGGAAGCTTCCCTAGTGACATGCTTGTTGGCTGATTATTTTATACACTGTGGAATTCAGTTTTATACTTTTGGGGGATTTAAGAAAGTTATTTTAGTTAGTAGTTAGGCTCCCTCAGCTAATGGTAGAAGCCTGTTGTTGGTGAGAGTTGCTCTGTGGCAACACATTATTTGCTTCTGTGTTTCATATGACGATACCATACAGTGGTGCCCCGCTTGACGACGATAATCCATTCCAAGAAAATCGCTAATAAGTGAAGTTGTCGTCAAGCAAAAAAACCCATTGGAATGCATTGAAAACCAGTTAATGAGTTCCAATGGGGAAATACCTCATCATCCAGCAAAGATCGCCCAGAGTGAACCATCGATCAGCTGTTTGAAATCGCTGTCTTCTGAAGCAGGGGTTTGGAAAGCAGTCATTTTGTGAAGGGAGGGAAGCCATTTTGCGGAGCCAGAAAAATCATTGTTTAGCGAACAAACAGTTTGCAAATCAGGCTCCTAATCAACGTAATACGAAAAAACCCCATTGGAACCATCGTTTTGCGATCGCAACAGCGATCGCAAAAAACTAATCAAGCGATTTCGTCGTCTACTGGAGTCGTCGTCAAGCAGGGCACCACTGTACTTGAACCTGTTTCTAAGTATCTCAGTAAACCTTACTGGCACTGGCACAACATATGTAAGCCACATTTTACAGTACTGCCCATATTTGCATCTTGCTCTATGTCTGGTGTTACCTTGGGGCTGTTATTTAATCTGCTATGTTTTGTCAAGTCATATCTGAAATTACTTTGATTTGGATTTCTGCATTGATCACAGGGCTGGACTCAGTGGCCTTATAGGCCCCTTCCAACTCAATTATTCAATTATTCCATGATTCTATGGCAACCCTAACTGGGTTTTCAAAGTATGTGAGATATTTAAGGAGTGGTTTCATCAGTACCATCTCCCTAGTTGAATTTCCTTGGTCAAGCAGGAATTTGGTGTCTCCTTGATGTTATTTAATGGTAATTATTTTGACTGTGGTTTAATTGTTTTGGTCTTGCTGGTTCCTTTGATTCTTGTGAAATCGCTTATGTGAACTAAGCCACACACATTTTTGGTTTGGCAAATTTTCTTTCATTGTAGTATAAATGTTTTTAAACCCCAAGCTAAGGTTCCAGTGTTTGACTAAAATTGCCTATAAGCGTGATGTTGACTGTTTTTACAAATGTGTGCGATAAAAGGCAACGTCCTTGTGCTTTATTCTGGAAGTGGCCACCATGCTGTTGTTTGAAAGTTTGAACCTCAGTGTCATTAGCAAGGAACTAAGATTTGGTTTTTATTTTGTCTTCCATCTGGGAAAATTAGAGCTTACTGTATTTATATTTTTGGCAAACTTCTTTCTGTTAGCTTTCCCTTCATACCTTTTTGTAAGGACACATTGTATAGCTCAAGATCTATGATTATGAAAAGCCATGTCATAGGAAAAGCTGAAATAATGTAAACAATCTACAGCTTATTTCTAAAAGTATGTTGTAAGAATTCTGGCTTAATACAGCTATCTTATAAGCATCTCTTTGTGTCCAATAGCTATATTTATAGTTTAATTCTAAGTTACAGACTTTTAATTATCATCCATATGGCAGCAGAGGTTTTTATAATGTTGCCTGTCTTTCTCCATTTATTAGAGTCTAGTGTTAATTTAAATATAAATAAATACATACAGTGTGTAGGCTTTTCTAGAAAGCTTTTCAAACTTCCAAGGCTTACATTTGAACCTTTAGTGCCAAAACTTCAAGAGGTCTGACATGAAAACCTGTTTCAAAGCTTAGTTCTTGTTGATTTTTAGAAATCATAATCTCAAAAAATATTGGGGTTCGTTATCCTGGTTGCAGTGTGTGATAAGAAAGTGTTTAAATTAGCTGGTCCTGCATGTTTCAAAAACTTCTCAATTCATTTCTATACAAAATGGAAGCGGTAGGACTAGATGGTTTCTTGTAAAATAATAAAACTATGGACGAAGTGGGGAAGATATGACACACTCACACACCAATGTTGAATTACAACTCCCACCAGTCTGAGCAGCATAGCCAACAGTGAAGAATAGAGGGAAATTCCAATTAAAAATTATTTGGAGATCTAACGTTCCTGTAAAACATGACTTATGTTGCAGTCTTGTACACCTGTAATCTCTTAGCAGATAGGCACAGGATTGCACTGTAGTTTGTGCTACTTGTATTGTTGATGCATCTGAAATTTTCCAAGCCATGGCTAGTTTAGACTGAAGCAAATAGACTCCAGAATTTTACTTGCAAATTGTGCCTATTCCACCAATGAGACCAAAGATACCTTCTCATTAATTTTAGTTTGAGTCTCAGACTGAGGGATTTTGGGAGTGCCCTGGTTTTTTTCCCTTCTTTTCCATAGCCAAGAAAGTATCGACTGGGGATGCTGGAGGAGAGGATAGTTCCAGTGGGATCAAAGGCACGAAAATCAAAGAACACTATTGGCTGCTTGGCTGACAGGTGTAAAACAGGAGTACCCATCAATATGGTTTGGTGGAACAGAGTCACAGAAAACAATTTACAGGTAAAATTACTTTTTCCTAGTCATTTAATTAATTTCAGATACTATTTTTATTTCTGGAAAATGCTGAAGTCAGATACATGTGTTGGGGTTGAAATCTGGCCAGAAAGGTAAAATTAAGAAGTGATAATGCATATTGATATTTTATGGGGAAGGAGTGAAAGGGTCTTGTGGTGTGTTCAAAAGTAAAAGATTTATCATGGCATGAGCATTCATAGGCCAAAATATTGTTGCTTAGTGTAGTAAATTGCACTAGAGTAAGCCAATTGAACCAATGGGGATTTACTGAGTCACCTGCTCCCTGTACAGTACGTAGAATAGGAGAGCCTGCTCTAAGTAAAACTTAGTAAGTCACAGTTAGATTAGGACCATTTGAATCAGTTGCACCTACAAAGTAGGGGACGCACTAAATCATCCCATTCAGTGGACCTACTCTAGTGCAATTTACTATACTGGGCCACAGGAGTTTGTCAGTAAAGTATAATCTACTATTTTGGGATCTCAAGAAGTGGATTGTAATCTAAAAAACAATGCTAAAACTGTTACTCTTAAAGGTGTCACAAAACCCTTTTTTGATTTCCATAGGACTCTTTGTTTTTTGGTGTTATTTTGTTTGTTTGTTTGTTATCCTGAAGCAAATTAACATGGCTACCTCTTTCTGATTTGCCAAAATGGAAAATATGTAATGAATTATACATTTCACAATTAAGGTTTTGCGTGTCAAGAATAATAGTTTTTTTTTTTAAAAACTTGCATCAAGTGTCATTTTCTTTAATGAGATTATTTTCTAATGGAAATTGTGACTTTGATGTTAAATATTCAGAATAGGTTGTTAGCTGATTAAGTGGAGTCAACTCAGGTCCAATATGTTCTAATAATCTGAAAAGTTTAAATAGAAATCTAATAGAAGTAGTCTTGCTAAATAGTATGTCTTATTTATGTTCCCCACCCACACTTAGAAAAATCAGCCTTGAATGAACATCATATTAGGGGCCAGTATCCAATTGTAGCATTCATTAGCACTAATGATGGTGTACTTCTATACACTTAATATTTGGATTTTGTTCAGTAACGGACTCTTAACGTTGTTTTCAATTGCAAAACCAGTTGCACACATGATAGCATGTCTGAGGTCCTGAAAAAGAAATGTACTATTGTTTACCCAACTGGAAAAAGCAAACAAGTCCTGCTAATGCACCCTGCTACTTTTCATCTGCTAACATTGTAGCAGATTTGAGCTACAGTAGTTTTCTCTTAACATAATGGCATTAACAACCTCCACTACTTCAGTGGCACAGCTAGTATTAGTAAAACATCTTAGGTATGCTCTTTGTGTGATTTTAAACAGACATTATGGCATGGAGAAGGTGGGTAGTATTGTTTGTCAGGGTGCTGTGTTCAAAACGTAGACTAGTGCTCCTCTGGCTTTAGTGGATCAGGGAGACACACACAATCTGTCAGGTAGGATAGAAGCTAGTGGGCCTATCAGATGCTGTTGTACTTCAGTGTCCATCAGCCCCCCGCCCCCCAAGGATGACCTGTGATTAGGAATGAGTGGATTCGTGGTCCATCAATATTGGGAGGATTGCAGTTTCTCCATCCCTGGTCTAAAGGAAAAAAATAGTCTAGGAACAAGATAAATTACAAAATAAATACACTGGTGCCTCGCATAATGAGCGCACCGTTTAACAATGAATCCACATAGTGATGCGGATTTTGCGATCGCTAATGCGATCGCATACCGATGTTTTATCGCATTGCAATGGGGGAACAGCTGTTCGGCGGTTCCAAAATGACCGCCGGAACACCCGAAATGGCCACCGTAACACTCAAAATGGCCGCCGGAACATGGGGAAACATTGCAGAACAGTGAGTTTTGGGCCCATTTGGAACACATTAAACTTTTCCGTTCCGTTTAGCGGTGTTTCCCCATAGTGAAGGTTAATCCGGAACGGATTAACCTGGCTATGCGGGGCACCACTGTATGTAAATAGGAAGAGTTGTCACCTAGTGATATAGAAAGTGCCTGTCATGATTGTGCAGCACCATTCTGCTTGATATATGCAACTCCAATGCATGTTAACAGTAGAGGAAGAATTATGCTCTCTTAGTTGCAAAATGGAGACCAAATTGCTAACATGTGCTAGATTATGGAGAAAGCCAGAGAGTTCCAGAAAAACATCTACTTCTGCTTCATTGACAACGCAAAAGCCTTTGACTGTGTGGACCACAACAAACTATGGCAAGTTCTTAAAGAAATGAGAGTGCCTGACCACCTTTTCTATCTCCTGAGAAATCTATATGTGGGACAGAAAGCAACAGTTAGAACTGGATATGGAACAACTGATTGGTTCAAAATTGGGAAAGGAGTATGACAAGGCTGTATATTATATCCCTGCTTATTTAACTTACATGCAGAATACATCATGCGAAAGGCAGGACTGGATGAATTCCAAACTGGAATTAAGATTGCTTTAAGAAATATCACCTATTTCAGATATGGCAATGATACCACCCTGATGGCAGAAAGTGAAGAGGAATTAAAGAACCTCTTAATGAGGGTGAAAGAGGAGAGCCCAAAATGGTCTGAAGCTCAACCTTAAAAAAAAAAACCCTAAGATCATGGCCACTGGTCCCATCACCCCCTGGCAAATAGAAGGGAAGATATGGAGGCAGTAACAGATTTTACTTTCTTGGGCTCCATGATCACTGCAGATGGTGACAGCAGTCATGAAATTAAAAGACGCCTGCTTCTTGGGAGGAAAGCGATAAGAAACCTAGACAGTATCTTAAAGAGCAGAGACATCACCTTGCTGACAAAGATCTGCATAGTCAAAACTATGGTTTTTCCTGTAGTGATGTACGGAAGTGAGAGCTGGACCATAAAGAAGGCTGACTGCCGAAGAATTGATGCTTTTGAACTGTGGTGCTGGTGGAGACTCTTGAGAGTCCCCTGGAATGCAAAGAGAACAAACCGATCCATTTTGAAGGAAATCAACCCTGTGTACTCACTGGAAGGACAGATCCTGAAGCAGAGGCTCCAGTACTTTGGACATCTCATGAGAAGACTCCCTGGAAAAGACCTTGATGTTGGGAAAGTGTGAAGGCAAGAGGAGAAGGGGATGAGAGAGGACGAGATGGTTGGACAGTGTCATCAAAGCTGCCAACATGAATTTGACCAAACTCTGGGAGGCAGTGGAAGACACAAGGGCCTGGCGTGTTCTGGTCCATGGGGTCATGGAGAATTAGACACTACTTAACGACTAAACAACAAAGTTGCAATATGCTACATTTTGACCACGGGGAAAATGCCCTTATACTACTAATGCCATATCTTATAACTGAAGTGCCTATGAAATGAAGGTCATGGGAGTTTTTCTAATGTTTGGAAAACAATCACAGCATTGAGAAAGTCTGAAAAAGCTCTGGAGATCTTGTTTTTAATGTTTTTTTCAGTTTATGTTACGTGAAAGAGATAGAATAGCAGAATTCTGTATTAGTTAAGCTTAGAGGATGTGAGGATGGAATAATTTTATTCATGCTGCTTTCTGTATACTGAGATCTCCACCTGAATGTGTGTCAACTAAGAATGTGTAATGATAAATCCTGTTTATCACTATTTATATATTTATAGCTTTTATGTGAGAGAAGAATATTTTGACTTTTTTTGCAAAAATTATACTAGCCCTTTTTTTTAGTATCTCAGTGTTCTCATGTGCCTAACTTAGGTTTTATTATTGCATAAGTGAGGGTGTGGTGATTTTCTTCCTGTTAATGACTTGACCTACATAGATGTGTACTTTGGCAGATCTCTTGGATGGAATGACCTGATTTCATTTCAGTATCTTCTCTAGGTAGTGTCATCTTAGAAAAGGGCATCCAGAGAGAGAATGAATTATACACTGTTCAGGCAACTATGATTAAGGTAGTTTTGAATTGCGAGTTTGATTAATCTGTAGGCAAAACAGTTTTCCATTAGACTTCCAGCTTTTCCTCTTAGCTTCTATAGGAAATAAAAGACTCATTGTGGAGATATACAAGGAGTATGCCTAGTATCTACAGACTTTAAAACACATTTGCAGAATTTGTTTTACATTGTGTTTTTTTGTACCCATGCTTCTTTCCACACCCATGAACTCTTACATTGTAGTCTAATACTTTGGTCTTGCTCAGAATATAAGTTAAATGGATTCTGTAGAACTAACTTTCTCTCATGTTGTGCAGTTTTTGTAATAGCCATAAGAGCTGACTGGAGTAATGGAAGCCCTGATGCATGTACATGTTGGTCTCTGGCATGTTTGCATTGAAGGTTTACAGGAAAAGGTTGGAAAGTATAGGTGGTTAGGTCGAGCCACAAATGTGAGCGGTTGTTGTTTTTTCTGTAGAGAAAAAAAAACTTTTATACGTTTTTAAGCAGATTATCAAATAATTTTTTTCAGTCTTAAAGGAACTTGAGATAACTTGAGAGAAATATGATTCTTGTTCAGTATGTGTTTGTTCATATGAATATGTATACACATCAATAATTTATTTTACTTCTCACAAGTATTTTTTTTGTTGCTAGGAGTCCATATTTGTAGCCTCACTTGCATAAGCCACTGCTCACATAAAGCACTTTATAAGGAAAAATGGGAATATGGTCTCATGAATGTGAATTCCTACCTTGTACCCTTGTCATGAGAGCACACATGAATGTAAAAGTGGCAATGTAAGGAAAAGTGCTTGCAAAAAAAAAAAAAAAAAAAAAAGAATTATGCAGTGGTAGAATCTGAAGCTGAAATTGCTTCTTTAGTCATGGAGCCAAGCTTTGGACCTCACATATCCTTGCCCACAACTCCCAGAAACCCTAAGCATCGGGTGTGCTTGCTGAGGCTTCTGGGATTTGTAATCCAAGAACATTGAGGCCTCAAATTTGCAAACCTCTGTATTACAACAGTAAGAGCCTAATCTTTGGTAAACAGTGAAAGTGCTGTTTATTAATACATTTAATGGTAACTATATGA